GGGCAAGCAACCCCTCGTCCTCGTGATCTGTCCGAGGCATGACATGGAATGGGAGGACTCGGTTGCTGTACAGGTCCCACACACGTCGAGGAGGGATTTGCGAGTTCTGGATGGAGTGACCGCGAATGGCATTGTCCCGCCTTTGTTGAACCTCATCACGACGCTCCTTCATCTTGGCCAGTGCTGCGGCAGAGTCTTCAGGCCCCCGCCAGCACGACCACTCCGAGCGCAGTGTCCCATACACCTCCCCGAAATCGTGCAAACTGCCGAGCGCGTATTCCAAGCAGTCACGGACACCAGGGGTGTCGAGCGTATACGACGTCCCAAGGACACTGTTGAGTTTCGCGAGCAGATCGTCAATTGGCAGGAGGCCACGAGGGATGTCGGCGAGTGCATCGGGTATCGCACCTTGGCCAACGTGTACGCACTGGAGAGGGACGGTGGAAGGAGTGAGAGGAGTGAGAGTGTAGATCTCGCCTGGGCCTGAACACTCAGACCGGAAAAGGTTGTGGGTAGGCACGATGCCAGAGGCAGCCATCTGTATCGAGCCCCAGATAGCGGCCCGGGCACGTTCCCGGCTGAGATCGCTGAGCTCTGTGGGCTGCGAACCCATGAAACAAGGGATCGCCACCCGCGGAGTGGTGCATGTCCACGGAATATTGTCGCATGAGAAACACACAGATGTTCCTGATAACTCAATGAAGACTCTTGACTGCACAAGAAATTTGTGTTCTGTAGCAGTCTGAATGAGAATCAAGTCTTGGCATCAGTGGACGAACATAGGAAATATTCCAGACTGAGGTTGAGAGACTTACGCCGTCAGAGGACCTATCATCATCCGAGCCGAAGCTAGTACCTTCCAAGCCGGAGTATGGCGGGGCGGGCAAATTCGCGTATGTGGCAAACTGCTGACGCCTAGCTTTGTGCTCGGCGATTCCAGACCCGGAGTGTGGTGCGTAAGGAAAAAAGGGATGCCCAAGGTCGTGCTTGAGACGCAGGTCTGGGTCCGACATGCACCATGAGCACAAGGCAAAGTCTGGACATGAAAGACACTTGTGCCAGCCCAACGAGATCTTGAAGCCACAGCCTCGACAGCGCGGTGCATTCAATGTTGCGCGGACAGCCTCGAAAGTGCCAACATCCCACGGGTACTCGACAGGGAAAAATCGATGTCTGATGCCGTGCTCCGAGCGCCGTTGGAGAGAGGAGATGCAGAGCTGACAGAGCGAAAAGTCGGGGCATTCGAGACACTGATGTCGGATGCGAAAGATGCGACGTCGGCAGCCACCGCACTTGGTCTGGCTCGCGATGTCGTCGTGCTCCGAGGATGGATCTGGTTCAGACTCGAGCCGTGCCGTAGACGACTCTAGCGGGGTGAATTTATGTAGAGGGTTGTGGGACATGCGGACATGCGGATCGTTCACGCAAGCGGTACAGAGTCCATAGTCGCCACCACAGTCGACGCAGTAGTGTTCGACAGCGAGTCCGCTGCATTTGCTGCATGCTGCGTCGGAACGTCGACCGGTCGCATCGTAGGGGGCGCATCCTGTCACATCTCTCCGGGGAAGGAGTACGCCATGGTCTCCCGGGAAAGTTGGAGGAGTCTGAGCGTTGTCTCGCGCGGCAAAGAATTTTGTTGCTTCTTCTGGGCTTCGGATGGGAAAGAACTCGTGAGAGATAGGATGTGCGGAACGCCTCTTGATGTTGTTGAAGCATGCAGAGCAGAAATCAAAGCCGCAGCATGAGAGGCACCTGTAACGTACGCCGATGACCGGCTCTCGCCAGCAGCCATCACATTTGACACCGTGATGAACGTTATGTAGCACTAACGATAAATCACGAAATGGGCGGTGGTCCCAGGGATACTCGATCGGAAAGAGCGTATGGGCGTGTTCATGTTGAGAACGGAGCGACACGACGGATATGCAGTCTTGGCACAGGTCGAACCCCATGCATTCCACACACTTGTGACGTACACCGAAGATTGGATTTCCGCACCCACAGCACACCACCCCCCGATGTTCCACGCCTGGGCAAGCCTATGGTAATTGTTATGAGTCTATGTAGGATGAATGTCCAACGATGGTTCTCACCGGGCGCGGGTCGCTAGACTTCACCAGCTGCAGGTCGTGGTCGCTGGCACTTGCTGGCTGCGGATCTCCGGACTGCGGGCTGATGGGGTGTGAGTTGCTGGGCTGTGGGTCGCTGGGATTTGGGTCGCTTGGGTGTGGGTCACCGGGGTGTGGGTCGTTGGGTTGTGGGTCGTTAGGTTGTGGGTCGTTGGGTTGTGGGTCGCTGGGATGTGGGTCGCTGGATCTCTCCGGTAGTAGGTCGCTGGAATACGGGTCGCTACGCCTTGCCGACTGCAGATCCTCCACCGGCTGCGGCTCACTCAATCCCGCACGCACCAGGTCGTCCAGCTGCGCGTCATTGTACTGTGGGTCGCTGGGCCTTAGGTCGCCAAGCCCAGAGTCTTCAGAGCTCGCTGGCTGCACATTGTTAACGGCATCTCCAATGTCTTCTCTCTCCCAACCAGATCTCGCATGTACAATTCCTGCGAATGCCTGTCACAATTCATGAGCATTGTAACTGCTTCACACTTCGACGACGAACCTGGATGACCACCGCGAGGCTCAAAAAGCTTGTAGTAACAACGACTGCCAGGGCGACCGCGTAGTCTACCAGCGACATGTTTGCCCATACACCAATGTCCCACTCCAGGACCTACACATTCTCGTGAGCAAGACTGGGCATGATGACTGCGCTGCAACTCACAATGTCGTCGCGTCGGAGGGATGGCTTGCTTCAGCCAATGCGGTGCCCTCGAGCTGTCGAACGGATGCGCGTGCGGCTGGACGGTTCCTCGACGTCGAAAGTATGTCCCAAAGAAGGACAATGCACAATTATGGATATGTTGTTCAAGACGGATTTCGGGGTTGTAGCTTGGTCTAAGGCAGAGTGACGAGCAAGCACCGTGCAACGAGGAGGTTGGTCGTCTGCCTCGTGGGCTATTCCGGGTACAGCCCGCTCGGACAGCTTGCTCGCACGTGGTTTAATGGCTGTGCGAGAAGCGAACACCGCTGCTTTCAGGAACAAAGTGAGCACCAGGATTGGAAAGGCGGCTGGAGCATTGAACAGAACTTACCGTACCCAAGGCCTGCAGAGGGCGCCATCGATGAGGAACTGCTGGCCGATTAGGCAGGCGGAAGTACGCTGAAGCTGGTGTCATCAGTGACAAAGCGCCGCATCCGATTTTGACCGGCGTCGTTGATGCCGTAG